GAGGAGGAGAAGAAGAAGAAGAAGAAGAAGAAGAAGAAGAAGAAGAAGAAGAAGAAGAAGAAGAAGAAGAAGAAGAATCTGATTTAAAGGCTTGGGCTTGTGGTAAAAAGCACGTGTTACATAAACGTGAGGAGCTGAATTAGGATCCACAAAAAGATGCACATGGTCAATGTAACCCCACTGCTGCTAGGGGTGGAGACAGGAGGATTACTGGAGTTGATCACCAGTTTAGCTCCAGGTTCAGTGAGAGATACCGCCTCAAAGAAATAAGGAGAGTGACAGAGTAGACATCGGATGTCTCCCCATGACTTCTGCACACACACATGCAGTGCACACATATACCCATGTGTACATGGCCTATCTTTATCCCCCTCTCATTCATTCTCTCAGTTACACACACAGAAGGAAATCTGACTGAAACAACTTAAAATAAAGGTGTCTGATTAACCCCCTATCACTGGCTACTTGTCAGCTTCTACATGGCAGGCATTTAGCAATCATATCTGTGTGTGAGTCCTCTGCCTGACACACTTGGCTTCCTTTCACTGATAAGCTATTAGCTTTGCAAACAAAATTCCTTTCCCAATGATACAACTCTCAGGCTGGCTGCATGTCACAAGAAAAGCAAGTACCTGCGTCACATTTCCTGTGTGTCGGGAACACACTAAGCACTCTGTAAACGAATGGTTCGTTTGGCCCTTACAGAAATAGGCAACAGATAATCTCACCATCTCATTTTAAGGGTAAGAAACCTGTCCAAGGATGGGAAATTTGTCCAAAGTCAACACAAGACGGGGGAAGAACTGGCACTTGAGCCTAGTATGTGTGCACGGTGCACAGTGCTTCCTGCAGCAGTCAGGGTTAAAGTAACGGTAAAGACTGAAAGCTGCTCAACTGACAGGCACTTAAAAAATTCCCTATAAAGTCCGGTGTGGTGGCACACTCCTTTAATCCCAGAACTTGGGGGAGGCAGAGGCAGGCAGATCTCTGTGAGTTTGAGGCCAGCCTGGTCTCCAGAGTGAATTCCAGGGAAGCCAAAGCTGTTACATAGAGAAACCCTGTCTCGAAAAACAAACAAACAAATTCCCCTGTAAGATTAAGATTTTTTTTTGGAACATTAAAGAATGCCATTTACATTAAAAGATCAATGATAATATAGGAGAAAATGTTTGCCACAAAAACAGGACCAGAATATTTCCACAAAATAAGAAATCATTCCAAGACATGAATGAGCGGAGACTATGTGTTGCAGAGTAAACAGAGGAAGGCCCCAGGAGCATCCAGTAGTGCAAGTCAGTTACAGCCTGTGTTTTTGTAAACTAGATGAAGCAATTCAAAAACAAACAAACAAACAAACAAACAAAAAACAATGAGAACTGCTGGCGAGACCAGCAAGCTCTCTGTACACACTCTTGCTGTAAAGCAATGCGGCAAAAGGACTATGAAAAAAAGGTGTCCACTATTTTTTTTTCTAGTAATCCTACATGTAGAAATTCACCATTGGGAAAGAATGGTGAGACAGCCAACATGTTTATGTAAAAATAATGGAGGCATTACTTAAAGCAAAAGTTGTATATATATAAATCCAACAATGAGAATCAACTATACACAAAGGCACATCAGGAATAAAATGTCTACGATTTTAATGTTATATAAGTGTTAAATTTTTTAAATTATTGAAAAATTTCAAGCATACAGAAAAAAAATGACAAAACCAGTGCCCCAAACACCCCCAGTGAGCCTCAACAGTTAGCACCCTCCACACTTATATCATTCCGCTTTGTGTGTGTGCACAGAGTCATTTCCAAACTGCCAGGATATGACATTTCTTGGTTGACACAGTGATAATTAAACATATGCATACCTATGATGTGTTCATGACCAAACGGAGTGACAACAGGTCCATCTCCTCAGACACCTGTCAGTTCTTTACTAATACCTAATAAGTTGTTGAAGCCAGAGGTACCTCACTGTGCTAAGGAGCCGGAAACTAACTGTATTTTGGTGCCTGCTGTGGTTGAGACTTGGATTATCTACCAAGGGCTCATGTGTGGAAGGCTGGCTCACTAGTCTTCAGTCCTGGGAGGCATTAGAATCCTCTGTGCTTAGTGGATAGGTGTGAAGCCATTGTGGGTACACTCATAAAGGAGTCACTGAGGTCCCAGCTCCTCCTCTGTCTCTCTTTGCTTCCTGGTAGCCCTATAGCCTCCTCTACTGTGCCATGACACTCTGTTTTGCTACAGGCCCAAAGCAATGAATTAGCTGGTTATGGATTGAAACCTATGAAACTGTTAGCCAAAATAAACCTTTCTTCCCTTAAGTTGGTTTTTCTCTCAGGCATTTCATCCCAGTAAAGGCTGGTAACAAACACTGACTAACCAGCTTCCTTCTCTACCCCCTACACCTACCTTTACAAACTCTAATTGCCACAACTCTACTTCCTATTTCTAAGAAATAATTTTTTAAGTTTCTAAATATGGATTAAAATACCCCCTTTATTCTGCACCTAGTTTATTTAACTAATCATAATGTCCTCCAGTTATCTACACGTTGTCACAAATGATAGGATTTGTTTTTTCAAAATTAGTGAATAATATAACCACTATGTGTGGATCTATATGCTTTATTGTCTTTATCCATTCATCCATTGTTGGCTACTTGAATTGATTCCATGCCTTGACTATTGTGAACAGTATTACAGAATTTATGAGAGCTTTAATATATTCTACTTGGTATAATTTTTACATTTTTAAAAACTTTTATTTGTGTGTGTGTGTGTGTGTGTGTGTGCGTGTGTGTGTGTGCGTGTGTGTGTGTGTGTGTGTATGTGTGTGTGTGTGTGCGTGTGCGTGTGCGTGTGCGTGTGCGTGTGTGCGTGTGCGTGTGCGTGTGCGTGTGTGTGTGTGCGTGTGTGTGTGTGTGTGTGGTCAAGTGCATGCTAAATATGTGCAAGTGTTGGGAGAGGGTAGTGGATCCCCTAGAGCTGGACATAAAGGCAATTGTGAACCAACTGACATGGCTGCTTGGGACTAAACTTGGGTCCTCTGGAAGTTCAGCAAGTGATCTTCATTGTTGAGCCATCTCTCCAAGCCCCCAATATGGTTTTAACGGCAAGAATAAAGAGATGTTTATCCACTCAAAATATATTAACTGAGCATCAACTATGCACCAAACTAGC